CAGTTTGTATTGTTAGGTTGGCATGGAAACTGTAATCAAGAATATTGACATCCTGAAGAGACCAGATCATTTCCTAAAGCATCTTCTCAACCATGCTACATCCCCTTGCAGTATTTCCTGGAAAAAAAAGTCCTTTCCAAAGAGTTGGATCTCAATAGGTTGTTGGATGACAGCAAATGTGGTTGAATATGTTGGATTGAGGGGACTCAGGTTCAAATCTACCCAGACACAGAAGCTTTGGGCCAACCATTCTCTCTCAGCCAAACCTACCTCACAGGGTTGTTGTTGTTGTAGGGGAAAATTGGACATCAGAGTACAGGTAGTCCTCAACTTACGAGCACAACTGAGCCCCAAATTTATGTTGCTAAGAGAGACATTTGTTAAGTGAATTTTGCCCCATTTTATGACCTTTCTTGCCACAGTTGTTAAGTGAATCACTGCGGTTGTTAAATTAGTAACACGGTTGTTCAGTGGATCTAGTTTCCCTATTGATTTTGCCTATCAAGAGAGTCGCAAAAGGGGATCACATGACCCCGGGACCCTACAACTGTCATAAATATGAACCAGTTGCCAAGCGCCTGAATTTTGATCACATGATCATGGGGATGCTGCAACGGTCATAAGTGTGACATAAGTCACTTTTTTCAGTGATGTTGTGACTTTGAACAGTCACTAAATGAACTGTTGTAAGTCAAGGACTACCTGTATTATGGAATATAAATTTAACCAATTAATTTGTAAACAGTAACCGTCTCTAACCTGGTGCCTAGCCAATCAATACATGAAGACTACAGTTTCCATCCACCTGTCTGCATGCACAGTGGAACACAATTTTTGATCTCCTGCTACTAAACAATATTTCTAAAAGCATCAGCCAAGAAAGACAAAATATTATAGAATTTTCCCGTTCATAACCTTCTTTCTCCAGATACACTGATTTTTTTCCCTTTTATCTCATGATAGTAACATAGATTACAAGTAGTTTTTGACTTAATGACCACAATTAAGAGCAAAGTTTATATTGCTAAGCAACATAAGTGAGTTTTGCCCCATTTTATGACCTCCCTTGCAGCAGTGGTTAAGTGAATCACTGCAGTTGTTAAGTTAGTAACGCAACTGAAAAGTAAATCTGGCTTCCTCGTTGTCTTAGAATAGATTGTCAGAAAGTCACAAAAGGGGATCACATGACCCCCCAGGACACTCAACTGTCATAAATGTGAACCAGTTGCCAAGCATCCAAATTTTGATCATGTGACATTGGGGATGCTATTAACAGTCATTAAACGTCCATAAGTCATAAACTAAGTCAGTGACAGCGAACCTTTTAGAGACCGAGTGCCCAAATTGCAACCCAAAACCCACTTACGTATCGCTGGGTGCCGGGTGGGCGTGGCCCATTGGATGGGCGTGGCTGCGGTGGTCACAGCAGACTGGGTGGGTGTGTCCAAGGTGGGCGTGGTTACCTCAATGTTGCTTGTGGGGAGGAACATCCGTGGGGGCCGGGCAGGGTTGGGGGAGATCCAGGGGGTCTCTGGCAGGTGGGACAGTGGGAAGGAGGCTCGTCCTTCAGGGTGAGGCGAGGCGGGGCCGCCATTGTCACAGGGCAAGGCGAGGCAGGGGCTGGGGCAGCTGCTGCCTGACACCATTGGCCCCCGCACACAGAGGCCAGCAAGCACATGGGGGCCGACGGTGTCCGTCAGCAGCCACAGCCTGCCGGCCCCTCGACTGGTGCACTCTGGGGCTCTGCAGCCCGCCACCAGCAGTTCAGAGAAGCTGCCTTTCAGCTGGACGGCTGGCCGACAGCTGAGGAGGTGATGCCGTGGGTCGTGTCCAGGAAAAGGAGAGCATGCGAGGCCAGGAGGGATGGAACAGGGGGAGGGAAACCAGCTGTGCTGAGATGCATCCAGCTATGTGGGACCTCGGCAAGTTAGCGGGTGGTTGGTTGAAGAGGGACGGTTGCCATCTCCGGAGCATGGCACGCGTGCCCACAGAGAGGGCTCTGAGTGCCGCCTCTGGCACGCGTGCCCTAGGTTCGCCACCACTGAACTAAGTCATTAAAATATAATAAAAAATGAATTTCAAATTTCAAATTGAAGTAGTAAATTTTATGACTAAGTCATATAAAATAAAGTGTTCATAAGTCATAAATGGTCCTAAGTCCCTTTTTTCAGGGCCACTGTAACTTCAAACGGTCACTAAACGAATGCTTGTAATTCAAGGACTATCTGTAATTAATGAGATTTGTTCTCCTTCTTGATGGTTCACCACCCTGCCCCCCCCCGCATATCTGCCGTGAAACTATGGTTTGTTGGGAATCCCACAAGAAATGAGTTTAAACAAGAATCAGAAGAGCCACATTCTGTGGCAGCTGTATTCTTGCTGAATTTTCAGCAACACTAGATGGAGCTTAGCTTCAGTTAAAATCTGATCCTAAAGGTCAGCCTTAAGTCTTCTAAATCAGTGGTTCTCAACCTGTGGGTTGGGACCCCATTTGGGGTCGAATGACCATTTCACGGGGGTCGCCAAACAACGCAGTCCGCCATTTTTTCCCCCTTTTCCTTAGCTGTGCTACTCCCTTTTATTCTATTGGCTTTTGAAAGCCAATAGAATAGACTCTCTTGAATGGAGTCTAATTTTATTGGCTTTCAAAAGCCAATAGGAATTGTCCAGGCTGTCTCTGCCTGCTGAGCCTGCCAAAAGTCCCATTCTGCAAACGGTGCTGCACCAGTTGAGTAGTCCTTGACTTACGACCGGTTGAGTAGTCCTCGACATACGACCGGTTGGGGGTCGCGGCTTTAAAAAGGTTGAGAACCACTGTTCTAAATCTAAAGAACAGATGCGGATTGCTTGACAGAGACAGCCCCTTCTGCTCCAGCTGAGCAACCACAATTATATTCCAATCAACACTGCCAAAACTCACTCCCTCCACATTTAGCATTTTAACCCAAATACCCTTCTTGATTTACTAACTGGTTGGGCTTGTTCATTCTCCATCCCTTTCTCAAATGCATCTGTATGATGGCTGGCTTGTAGTAAAGTTAGAAGAAGCAAGTCTGTCTTCCTGCTCAGCACTGTTATTTTTGCAGATTCAGAGTCATATGGGACTTCCATGATAACGCCCTTAAGGAAATTCATCAGGGATCAACACTTTGTAGAGATAATGACAGAAAGTGGATCCTCCATAGTCAGGAGGAGTATACCTCTAAATCTCAATTGCTTCCTTTGGAACCTACTGGAGGTTTCTCAGAAGGTCCTGTTAGATGTCAACCACCATCTTCCTTTTACTTCTGCTGCTCCCAAAATATTTCTCTTAATAGCAGATGAAAACACCACAAATGCACCTCTGGATGTTCTCTTTCCTCTCTGCCAACTCAAACATGCCTAGTTTGGCTAAGTTTACCTTAACCTGGTTTCTGAATTAGCCCACTAAAAGTAGTCCTGCAACCTAAGATCACAAATTTTCTGTTGCTAAGTGAGACGTTTGTGAGTTTTGCCCCATTTGATGACCTTTCTTGCCACGGTTGTTACGTGAAACATTGCAATTGATAAGTTCGTCACAAGTATAATTGTGAAGTGACTCTGGCTTCCTCCATTGACTTTGCTTGTGAGAAGGTCGCAGAAGAGGATCACATGACCCCGGGACACGGAAACCGTGTCATACATATGAACCAGATGCCAAGCAGCATCTGAATTTTGATCACACGATCATGGGGATGCTGCAAAGATCGTTAACGGTGAAAAACGGTTATAAGTCCCTTGTTTCAGCACCATCGTAACTTTGAACGGTCGCTAAATGAACTGTTGTAAGTCAAGGACTGCATGTCTTTGAATTCAATAAGGCCCTCAACCTTATGCTGGCCAAATTGTTTAGCCTTGTCTAGAGCTTTCTAGAGCAGGCATGTCAAACTGCCGGCCTGCAGGCTGGTTGCATCATACTGAAACCGCGCCCACCCCATTGCTGGCAATGGGAAAAAAGTTGCGATACATCACGCGACATTGCGTGACGTTGCGGATTTGACATGCCTATTATAGAGTGACCAATTCATGTGTAGGCTCCAGACAGAGGCAACCTGGTCCCCACCAGACAGATTGGCCCTTTAATTCCCAGAATTGCCCCAGCCAGAATGTTAGGGAGGATTTGGGGAATGAGAAACCAATACAGGTAGTCCTCGACTTACAATGGTTCGTTTAGTGACGATTTGTAGTTACAACAGTTACTGAATAAAGTGACTTACGATTGTTTTTCACACTTATGACTGTTGCAGCATCTCCATGGTAACGTGATCAAAATTCAGACACTTGACAACTGACTCACGTTTATGACGGTCGCAGGTCCTGGGGTCACGTGATCCCCTTTTGCGACCTTTCGACAAGCAAAGTCAACGGGGAAACCAGATTCACTTAACAACCGCGTTACTAACTTTTAAGCGCAGTGATTCACTTAACAAATGTGGCAGGAAAGGTCGTAAAACGGGGCAAAACTCACTTAACACATTTCTCACTTAGCAACATAAATGTTGAGCTTCCTCGCCACGGTAAATTGAGGACTACCTGTATATTTACAAAGCTCCGGGATCAGTGATCTCTTTTTCCCAGTAGGGAGAGCTTATCAACTGTCCTTCCTTCCCTGCCCCCCCCCGCCCGCCCCATCTCTGCTTTTGCTTTTTAAAGTTAAACAAGAGATAAAGTGACACCGATAGGAACTCGGCGACGGGTTTTGCGTTCTCTCCTCGGTCCGCAGCAGGGAGCGCTAGGCTGTGGACCATCCTAGCAGTGAAACCGATTTTCTGCAATCAGAGGGCGAAAAAGGTGGCTCGTCTGAACGGGCTCTTGAAGACGCGAGTTCCTAGCTGCTGTGCAGCGATTCCCCGGCCCCAACGCGAAGGGCTCCGTGCACACAGCCCCTCTCCTTCTTCCTCTTTTTTCGCTTAGCAGAGCCAGCTGCTCCCCCCTCCCCAAGCTGCGCCCCCTGCTCGATCCTCAGCGCTGCGCCCTCCTACCGGGATCCACGCTTTCCCGCTTGCTGTCGCTGCCCGCAGAGGCGCCCATCACCAAGGCGGCCAGCGCCAGGGCGGCGCGCAGGGTCGGGACTGTTCGCAGCTCCATGAGCGCAGCTGAGCGAGCACCGAGCGGAGGGGAAAGCGACTGGGGGCCCGCCCGGGTTTGGTTCGCTCTCGCGAGCGGCGGAGCTTGGAGGGATCTCAAGCTCCTCCCGATCGCAAGCCAATCGCTGGGGGAACCTCCTCTAAGGGGTAGGGTCAGCCCTGCGTGGAACGGGTGGGGGTATCCTATCTGCCTTCCCCAAATACGTGCAAATCTCTATTCTGCCGCCGGCGCGATGAGATCAAAAGGGAAACGTTCCAAAAAGGGAAAGTCCTCCCTTCCCCCGCGCGCATTCCATTCTTGATTTACGCCTCTCTCTCTCTCTCTTTTTTTTCTCAATGGGAATTCGACGACCCGGCACCCACCAATCGCAATCCGCGAGAAGGTTTGGCCAATCGGAATAGGACGGAAGCTTTCCCTCCCTCGGCAAGCCAATGAAGAGTCTGGAAAGTTCGGGAAAGGCGAGGAAAGGGGCGGGAGGGGGAAAATAAGAAAGAAAGGGAAAGGAGCTGGAAAAGACGCGCGTTGCGGGGGTTTTTTGTTTTGGTCGTGGGGATAGGGTTACAGGGCATTTCCACGCACGGCGGCTCGATCCTCAGCCCCGGGAGGATAGGGAATCGCTTCTTAATATCCTTTAACGCCAGAAGAGAAAGGAGGACTAAAAAAAAACCTCAGCTCAAATGCAAATCTGATCCTTTAGCCGCAAAAAAAAATAATAATCTAAAAAAGATCAGGCTAGTTAGTTATTTGGGTAGGAAAAAAAAGGCGTGCGAGCTTGCCGGATGCGCAAAAGCAAAACCCTTCGTTTGGAAAATGAAAAAAGAAAAAAAAAAATGGAAAGACCCATGGTTCAAATGAGAGACATTGTTAAAATCCGCTTTTCTCTTCTCGGCTCGTAAATATTAGGAACGTGTGACGCTGATTCTCGGATTGCTTCTTTGACAGGAAATCCCATCAATCTCTAGGACGACCTGTCCCTGGCCGAAAATCCAAATATTTACCATGATTATTTTTTCATGATGAGATAAAAGATTGCAAGAAATTGGTGCTTTGTTTGTGAAACAGTTGTTATTTTTCCTGTAATCAGTTGATGAGTTGGTAAACACAGTAACTCCGTGATCTTGATAATTTGACGTTGAAGGAAAAGGCAAGTAACAATAACAGTAATAAAGCTGGAAGGGACCTTGGAGGTTATCTAGTCCAACCCCCTGCTCTCGCAGGAGACCTGTACTATTTCTGATAGATGGCTGTCCAGTCTCTTCTTAAAGGCCTCCGGTGTTAGGGCACCTACAATTTCTGAAGGCAATTTGTTCCACAGGTTAATTGTTCTATTAGGAAGTTTCTCCTTATTTTTAGGTTGCTTCTCTCCTTGGTTCCATTATTTTCAAGAATAATGGTTCAACATTATTTGGGATGAAATAGCTCCAAGTTTTAAAGAAATGCAATAAAACCCGAAACCCCTGCTGTTATAGTCCAATGAAAAAATAGATGCAGAATACAGAATAACAGTAATAGTAATCATCATCATAATATCCAACTTTGCATTAATATAAGTAATATGATTACCCAAATTCAGAATTATCTTTCATGGGGATAATCCTTTCCATTTTTTTCTCCCACTGTTCTGTATGTCTGCTGTCCCTGTTTATGTGTAATGCACTCTGCACATGCTCGGAAGAATGGTTCCTATAGAATTTGCATTAGCACCGCAACTCTAAATACTGGAAGCAATTGCAGAGGCTGAATGGGAAGCCTTTTAAATAAAGGAAGTCCAGTTGCCTCATGAAAAAGCACCTTTGGGACTTTTAAGCATGCATTTCTGAACTATGGAAACTTTAAGACAGGTGGACTTCAACTCCCAGAATTCCTCAGCCAGCGTGCTGAACATATTGAAGCCCAGCTTTCTTAAAGTGGCCGAGTCTGAGAAACATTGGTTGAAATGAAATTCTGCTCCCCGCCGTCGCCTAAATCAGGGGTCCCCAAACTCAGCAATTTTGTGGACTTCAATTCCCAGAATTCCTCAGCCAGAAATTCTGGGAGTTGAAGTCAAAAAGTCTTCAAGCTGCCGAGTTCGGAGACCCCTGGCCTAAATAGAACTTATTTCGAACTCGGCGGAGTATAGGACCCAGGGGAGCAAATTTTTTCTGCCTCTGCTAACAAACATTCTCAGCGAGGAAAGCCGTCATGACGTTTCTTAGTGGGCGTGTCCTGGTAGCGCAGGCGGAAGTCCGCATGCGTCTAATAACATGGCGCTCGTTTGCAGGTTGCAGCTGGATGGTGCGTCCTTAGACGTACAATAAATAAATACTGTATATTGAGAGCGCTAAAACCTGACTAGTTTTGCTCAGTGCCTTGTCACCTCTGCAGTACAAAGGTTTTTGCAGCTTGGAAAGCCGGAGTGGAGATAAACAAGGCGAGTTTATATCAGAAATATCACGGGGGCGCTGCGTCTCCTTATCTGGCTCGCAGAATGGTGGAAAAGAAAATTTCAGGTATTTTGGATTGGGGAAAAGGCGGGCTTGTTGATAGATGCAAAGGGTGACTGGGACAATTTTATTTTTTTATTTTGCAGAGGAAAATAAAGAATGCAGGTAGTCCTCGAGTTACAGCAGTTCGTTTAGTGACCGTTCAAAGTTAGAACCGTACTGAAAAATAGTGACTTCAGAACCGTTTTTCACGGTGAGGACCTTTGAGGCAGCCCCATGATCAGGGGATCAAAATTCAGATGCGTGGCAATTGGTTCATACTTAGGACCGTCGCTGTGTTCCAAGGTTGTGTGATCCCCTTTTGCGACCTTCTGACAAAGAAAGTCAGTGGAGGAAGTCAGATTCACTTAACAACCTGGTTACTAACTTATCAACTCAGTGATTCACTTAACATCTGTGGTAAGAAAGGTCGTAAAATGAGGCAAAACTCATTTAATAAATGTCTCACTTAGCAACATAAATTCTGGGCTCAATTGTCATAAATCAAAGACTACCTGTATTTTAATACCCGCCAACATTTCCCTTCCTTGTATTTCGTACAAGACTAAGCAACTTGATGTAGATGACTAGATTGAGATTTGAAGATCAGTTTGGGGACGCTGGATCCCAAATGTACTGCCACTCTGTGTGGTCTGGGAAGGGATGTACCATTAGATCAGTGATTCTCAACCTTTCTAATGCCGTGACCCCATAATACAGTTCCCCATGTTGTGGTGACCCCCAAGTGGGTGTGGCCACCAATAAGAGAGAGTAGGACAGCTAGGGAAAAGGGAAAAAAAATGGCGGACAGCATGGTTTGGCGACCCCCGTGAAATGGTCATTCGACCCCAAATGGGGTCCCGACCCACAGGTTGAGAACCACTGCATTAGATGGTTCCTGGAAGAAAATGTTGTAAAATGGGGCAAAACTCACTTAACAAATGTCTCGCTTAGCAACAGAAATTTTGGGCTCAATTGTTGACGTAAGTTGAGGACTACCTATATACCTTTAGTGCAGTGGTTCTCAACCTGTGGGTCGGGACCCCATTTGGGGTCGAACGACCATTTCACGGGGGTCGCCAAACAACGCAGTCCGCCATTTTTTTCCCCTTTTCCTTAGCTGTGCTACTCCCTTTTATTCTATTGGCTTTTGAAAGCCAATAGAATAGACTCTCTTGAATAGAGTCTAATTCTATTGGCTTTCAAAAGCCAATAGGAATTGTCCAGGCTGTCTCTGCCCTGCTGAGCCCGCCAAAAGTCCCATTCTGCAAACGGTGCTGCACCAGTTGAGTAGTCCTCGACTTATGACCGGTTGGGTGTCACGGCATTAAAAAGATTGAGAACCACTGCTTTAGTGCATCACAGCAGCTACCTGTAAGAGGAAGAATAAGCTCATAGACCTGAAAATCATCTTCAGGTGCTCTGTCCTGCCACTGGAGGGAGCATTTGGACAACATATCCAACCGTTAGGTATATATAAGGAAATATGGAATTAAAGGAGAATATTTGTACCTCAGGATTGAAATGAGGGGTCTTTGGTGCTTTGGTGCTGTCTGAGCTTGGTTGTTTTCTTTCAGGGGTTTCATGACTGATGATGTTATCTAGTTTGGATAACGAACCGTCTGCAAGAAAACAACCAAGCTCAGAGAGCACCAAAGACCTCTCATCAATGAATTCACACATTCATGGCTGGTTTTATATTTACATAAAAGAATGAGTCATCCACATTTACAGATAGTTTATAAAGGGTGCAGAACGCACGACTGGGTTTATTAAGTGCCCTAAGAAGGAGTAATAAACTGGGCCTTGCAAACCATAGGAAATACATACTCATGACGTCTAAGAAATACATGGACCAGCTAAAGAAATGAATGGAATATTTCATGTTCTTAACCATGCTGGGTAGTAATTATGGGTTCACACAGCGCACTAAGCCAAAATTAAAATCACATTGTGGTATTGTTGAGAGGAGCACAACAGATCTTGGGCTGTTTATTGGCCATTGGGTGAGGTTATGGGGGGAGGGTTAAGGGTTGAGGTAGGAACAGAAGTGCTCATCCTTAATGCTGTTGCCAAATATGAAAAAAGGCAGAAAAATTGATGCAGTTCAGCCATTTTGCTGCCAAATGTCGGCAGGATGATCTCAGGTGTTTCAAGGGAGATGCATGTAAGGGAGATGCATGTGGCCTTAAGGCAGACCTGGGCATTTTATGGCTCCCAGACCACATCAGGCCCTTTGGTTCTCCCTATCTGGCCCACATGAGGTAAATTGGAAATTAGAAATCAAATGTAAACAAGTATATGGCTCTATTGGTTTGGCACTCCACAACACTGCTAGTTTCTCATGTGATCCCTCAGGAAAATTAATTGCTTACCCTTGGCTTAAGATAATTGGGGCATGTGCATCAGGAGATTGGAAGTGCCCTTTGCCAGCTAAGAACACTGCCCCATTGCCAGACGCCAGCTGACCTCCTTGAAGGCAACATGGTTGACTCAATCTGGCTTGGCTTCAGTCCTCTTTCTTCTTTCTCAGCAAGGTCCCAGGACCCCAGCCAGAGGCGTATTTTAGACCGGGCCACCCGCCAACGCCGTCTCAACCGCCAATTAGAGGCCCTGGAAAATGACAATTTCCAAGATGACCCCCATGCCAACATGCCACAGCTGGTGAAGCGCTTGCCTCAGTTTGATGATGATGCCGAAACAGGTGAGTTTTCCTGCTGGGCAGAAAATACTTTCCTTTGATTTCACTGTCACACAATTTCACTTTCCTCTGATTTAATTCTCATTTGATTTCACTTTCCTTTGATTTCACTCTCCCTTAATTTTCCTTGACTTCCTTTTCTTTCTTAGCTAATAGATAACCTGATTTCATTTGTTTGACTTATTTATCCTGGTTTGTTTGTGTGAGCACCTGCATACATATATGTGTCTGCATGTGTTTGCAAATATATACACATGTATATACATAAATATATGCTTACGCACACAAGTAGAGATGTGTTCCCCAAAGAGGGGGGGGACATGTCAAGATGGTGGCTACAAACATGTCATTAAAGCACCATCTCTTTTTACCTATTTTGACTGTTTTCCTCTCCTCTGAACATCCCTCCACAAGTACATTCCTTGGTTTGTACATGGTGAGAATGTATTTTGCGTCTAGATTTGCGATTAGGGGTTTTGTGTGTTTTTGTAGTTTTCTAGGCATTGCCAGGTTGGGGTTTTTTGAGGGGGGAAATAGAGATCTCTTTTTTGAAAGCAAAGAGCTAATACTTAATTGGTCACTGAGAACCCCAACTGCCTCAATTTAATAAAGAAACCTCTTTTCATTTCCTTCCTTACTCTTCCGCAAATTGGAAGTTTGCTTCCTGACCACACACACCCCAGGATTGCCATTTTGTGACAGCTTCCACAAAACTCAACATTTGCCTAGAAAAGTAGGACGCCCCCTGTCTTAAATTAACAAAATCCCAAACTTCTTAACCTTTCTTTATTGTTGTGTTCGATGCCACAATGTCTACTGAGGCCAAAAGGCATTTGCCCTCATCTATAATTTGTGTTTTCCTTTCTTTGTCTTTCATTTGCAGGTAAAAAGAAGAAAAAAACCCGTGGAGATCATTTCAAGCTGCGTTTCCGTAAAAATTTCCAGGCATTGTTAGAAGAACAGGTCCTTCTCTTGCTCTCTTTTTTTTCTTAACAAAAAATTTGTGTGTGTGTGTGTGTGTGAACTCTTAATTTTTCTTCTTATTATAATGATGCTTATTTTGGTACAGATAGTCCTCGTTTAGCAATTGTACAAAGTTAAGTACATATGTGTGCCTTCAAGTCAGGGTTTTGTTTTTTTTTAAACTCCTGATGACAGAGTGCACAAGTCTGTTTTTTTTTCCTGGCAAGATTTTTTGGAAGTGGTTTGCCATTGCCTCCTTTCTAGGGCTGAGAGACGGTGACAGGCACAAGGTCACCCAGCTGGTTTTGTGCCTAAGGCGGCATTAGAACTCACAGTCTCCTAGTTTTCTACCATGATACCTTAACCACTGCACCAAGCTGGCTCTTCAAACTTCAGATGCTAATGAAAAAAATAACTTTTCGGCTAATCCTCGCATTTGCTACCTTTGCAGGTCTGTAAAAAAAAAGGAAAGTTGAAGGCAGATCATAAGCATGATTGTGATTTCACTTAGAGATCATCTCATTTCACGATTGATTTGCCAGTTCCAATTTCTCCCACCCACCCACCCGCCCGCCACCAAGAACACGGGTTAAAATAACAAAGATTAAAAAAGGACATTGGTAAAGCTAACGTCTGAAACCCAGGTTGGAAAACACACTGCAAAAGATCGTGTTTTGTTCAGTGGTATGCAGGTTGGAACAGAACTAAATTATTTGGATGGATGTTGTGGCCAACACTTGGAAGAAAGTGTTGGCCACAATCACAGGCACGCTGGGAGTGTTCCTGTCTCTGCCCTTCTAACCCGCTAAGAAAAGACGTCTTGTTGTTAATTGCGAAGTCGTGTCCGACCCATCGCGACCCCATGGACCACGTTCCTCCAGGTCTTCCTGTCCTCTACCATCTTCTGGAGTCCATTTAAGTTCACACCTACTGCTTCAGTGACTCCATCCAGCCATCTCATTCTCTGTCGTCCCCTTCTTCTATTGCCCTCAATCTTTCCCAGCATTAGGTCCTTCTCCAGTGAGTCCTTCCTTCTCATTAGGTGGCCAAAGTATTTGAGTTTCAACTTCAGGATCTGGCCTTCTAAAGAGCAGTCGGGGTTGATCTCTTCTAGGACTGACCGGTTTGATCGCCTTGCAGTCCAGGGGACTCGCGGGAGTCTTCTCCAGCACCATAGTTCAAAGGCCTCAATTCTTTGGCGCTCAGCCTTTCTTATGGTCCAACTTTCACATCCATACATTGCAACTGGGAGAACCAAGACGTCTTAGACTTAGGATAATCTTGATAATAGAATTTTAGGAGCTCATGTATCATGCAGATAAAAGATCCGTTGATCTGTAGAGTGGAAGAAAGTGTCTCTTATATAAAAAAAAGTGCCCTTGTGGTCTGTTGTTCATCGGTTATCTATACAGGTCCTTGACTTACGACTAATCACTTAGCAACCTTTCAAAGTTAGGACACCCCAAAAGGTGCTTATGACCTGGTTCCAAATTCCTGTGACTGCGTCCCCTGAAAGTCATGTGACCACATTTTATACACTTGGCAACCAGCCCATATTTATGTCTGCTTCGCCCTGCAGTCACCTATGATTTATGGCAGCGCCCCCCCAATCTTTTGGGCACCAGGGACCGGTTCTGCAGAGAGAGGTTTTTCCGTGGACTAGACAGGGCCTGGTTTTGCGTGCTGCCTGCATTCCGCTGATGGGGCTTCACTTGTTTGTGCTGTCTGGTTTCTGGCATGCCATGGCTCAGTGCCACTCCACAGACTGGTGGTTGGGGACCCCTGATTTATAGCATTGTGGCTGAAAACCAGCATGTTCAGTTTCCCGCAAAAGCACCTCATAGCGAGCAGTAGGTTAGCTTAACAACCATGATGTTTGCTTTACATCCACGACAGTCGCTTAAAAATCACCCCCAAAAAGTCATAAAATTGGGTTGGATCTCTTTTACAACCATCACGACTTACAATATAAGTCGAGAACTACCTGTATTGTGCTGGTTTCGTGTTCTTCGTATCATTTCAAGTGAGGAAGAGTGAAAAAGAGCCACCTCGATGTAAAGCATGGTGGCCGGGGGATTCTGGGAGTTGAAAGTCCCCACATTTTAAAGTTGCTAAGGTGGACAAACGCTGATCTAAGAGATTGACAAATCACTTTGGGTTTGAATGGTGAAGTAAGTCTATCTCAGATCTTGGTGAGAGCACACTTGGAAAATTGCGTCCAGTTTTGGTCACCACGATATGAAAAAAATGTTGAGACTCTAGAAAGAGTGCAGAGAAGAGCAACAACGATGATCAGGGAAACTAGAGGCTAAAACACATGAAGATCAGTTGCAGGAATTGGATATGTCTAGAGTAATTAAAAGTACTAGGGATGAATAATAGCAGTGTTGCAATATCTCAGGGGCTGCCACAAAGAAGAGGGGTCAACCTATTCTCCAAAGCACCTGAAGGCAGGACAAGAAGCAACAGATGGAAACTAATCAAGGAGAGAAGCAACCTAGAACTGAGGAGAAATTTCCTGACAGAACAATTAACCAATAAAAAGATTTGCCTCCAGAAGTTGTGGGTGCTCCAATACTGAAGGTTTTTAAGGAGAGATTGGACAACCATTTGTCTGAAATGGTGTAGGTTTCCTGCCTGAGCAGGGGGTTGGACTAGAAGACCTCCAAGGTCCCTTCCAACTCTGTTATTCTGTTAGATTATCCTTGGAGTAAATCCACTGAATTTCTTTCTTTGATTTCCAGCAGAACCTCAACACAAGTGAAGGGCCCAATTACCTGACAGCGTGTGCGCCCCCTTCCAATTTGCCGCAGCGTCATTTCTGCACAGTTTGTGGCTTCCCATCAAATTACACATGTGTTTCTTGCGGCGCCCGCTACTGCTGTGTCAAATGTTTGGGAACACATCACGAAACACGGTAAGCCTTCTCTAGTCACGTGGGATGATTATGCCTTGTTTTTAGGCAAATAATCAAGGTCTGTTAATAAAAATGGTTGATTCCTATATTTGAGCCAGATGCAATTTAGGGACATGCAGGCAATCACACACAAAAACGTATGTGCACTGCAACATGTGATGATTTTCTTTTCTTTTAATATGAGGCAGATAAAGGTTGATCTTCAAAAACTTCCAACTCTTAATAGTAAAAACAAGGATGGAGCCAAGATATAATTTCACAAACTGAGACGAAACAAACATAAGACCTTTTATTGATTTCTATATGGGGGAAATAACTGCTATTGTGTATATTTGCAGATAAATTTGCAAATTTTTAACTAAAACTCTATGAAAAATGCACTACTTGCAGATAAGCTGAACCACAAAATGTTTATATGTTATAATTTTCACAATTGGCTTACCTATAGGTAATCCATGGATTATCCATTTTTCTTGATATTTTGGTTAAAAAAAAATCTGAGCTTAACCGCAGGTGGGCTTTCCTGTCGTATGGAAAGGTGGATTGGCTGCCTGCCTGACTAATTGACTGATTGCCTGACTGATGGACAGCCTCATCTTTTAGACACCCTGCTAAAACTTTGTTCTGTCTTCTTTCAGGTGCTTGAAGTGGACAGTTTGAGTTATGCCATGAAGAATTATAAACATCTTATAAAGAGGTCCTTTCAAACAACCAGGTTGTCTTCCTCACAGAATAGATAGATTCTCCCTGCTATGAAGAGGTATAAACAGGACTGTAATTTGCATTTGAGTAATAAAATGTTTTTGTATTTTGTGGTCAGTGCCATGTGTTCTTCCTTTTAATCATATTGAGGGTTTTTTAAAAACTTGATTTAGAACGTCATGAATTAAGATTTGGATGGCCCAGTTATTTATGATATGATAAAGTTAAAGTAAATGTTGATTTCAACAATAATTTTATTAGGCCTGTCATAAAAAGCAAGGTTATTTATGAAGTTGCCTCTCTGGGTATTCCCCCCCCCCCCAGAAGCCTTTTTTTAGAAAAGAAATGGCAGTGAAGCCAGACTGGTGGACTTATGGTAAAATAATATCTTTTAATTTTGGTGACCCCACGCTCAAATCTAAGGAAAGTTAAAATCAGAAGATCAAGTTTGCGATTGGTTTACATACTTACAAATGAAATAAAAAATTAAACTAGATAAAAAGAGTTATGGGTTTGATTTTGTTAAAAATGAATTGGGAACTTCACTGTGTGGTAGTGATGAACATATTTTTGCTAATAACAAAACATTATTGAAATTGAATTTGGAAAGTAAACGTGTAAAACATTGTATGATACAGTGGGTAAGGAACTTTAGGTATAATGTGATGCTTGAACAATGGGAGAATATATGGACGAAAGGCTTAAAATACACACTAAATTATAATTTAAAAGAAAACTTTTAAAAGATGACATATCACTGATATTTAACACCAGATTATCTAAAATGTATAAAGGTATCTCAAATGTTAGAAATATAAAGAAGGGACTTTTTATCATTTATGGTGGGCCTGTGATAAAGCAAAAAAATATTGGAGTAGGAGAAAATTCTTATAGTGAATATAAAGATAAAGATAAAAATTTTCTTCTGGGCTTAATAGAAAAAGACTTGGAAAAAAAATGTGGAACTCTGATTTTATATATGTTGATGGCAGCAAGGCTACTCATAAAAATGGAAGGATGTTTCAATTTCCACCATGGACGAATGGCTGCAAAAGTTGATGGAGTTAGCAGAGATGGCTAAATTGACTGTTTTGATAAAAGAAAAGAATATAAGTAATTTTCTTTTTATTTGGAAACCGCTTCTGGAGTTTGTGCTTAAAGTGAAAAAAAAAAAGATACTTTGATTTTGGGTTTTACTGATTAGACTGATTTGTTGATATAGAAATGGTTAGCTTATATTACTATAGAAATGTTCCCAGTTGCAATGTATGGCTGTGAAAGTTGGACCATAAGAAAGGCTGAGGGCCTAAGACACGGGTCGGCAACCCGCGGCTCCGGAGCCGCATGCGGCTCTTTCAGCCGTCTCCTGCGGCTCCCAGCCACGTGCAGTGCCCAAAAAAAAATAGGACTAAAAAAGTTGAACCAATCAATTCAAACTTCTCATAAAAGAAGTTTGAATTGATTGGTTCAACTTCTTTGGTTTGTGGGATGCTGTTCGCCATGGGCTCGACATAGATGGGAGGGGGGGGGAGAAAGACAGCTCCGGAGGGAGACAGCCCTTTAGCAAGAAGCCAGCGGTCCGAGCGGAGCGGCATGGAAGACCTACTGGTTGGTGTGGGAGGCTCCAGCATTGCCGGTGAGTAAGGCCTGGTGTCCACAGCCCAGTTCCTTACCCCGACGACCAGCTGGACCGGCTTTCACTGCTTCTTTGCAAAGGAACGCAAAAGGTTTCGGGGTTTTGATCGCCGCTTAGTTTGTGCTGCCCAGCGCCTGCCTGCGTGCCTGCTTGCAAGCCTCCGTGCTCCTTCCCCGAAGCATGCAATTGCTCAGAGCCCATCCCAAAAGTTGCTGCTTCCCTGGCAGGAGCCGAGTTTGCAAGTCTCTGTTGAGGCAGAATTGGGGGAACACAAATCACAGCGGAGCTTTCATCTCGTGCTGTTGCCAAAGTGAAGCGGAAAAACCCCGCTTGGCCTCACCCTGCAGTAAGTCTTCCCTGGGCGGCCCTTTATCCGTGTTCTGCGCTTGCAAGATTGTCAAGAGGGGATGAAGTACCATTCTGTGATTGTTGGGGAGGGAAGTGTCATTCATTTACCATATTTTTATCTCACTTTTTGGTCAGTGCACTCAATTCAGCATCAAGCCCCGTTATGTGTGTGCACATGCGTACGCATGCGCACATTTTGCGGCTCCCAGTTTTTTTTTTTTGTGAGGGAAACGGGTCCAAGTGGCTCTTTCACCATTTTAAGTTGCCGACCTCTGACCTGGGCGAACTGAGAAATTTCTCCCCTGCCACCTACATTTCAAGAAAAACTTTAAAAAGGTGGGTGGAGAAAGAAAAAAGAACAAGGGAAGGTGGATAAGGCATCAAGAAAAATAGTAAGTTTTATATAAAGGTACAGGACTCTACAGCAACTGAAAAGGGTTAAAATTTCATGAAATGGAAACAAAACGGAGGTGAATAGCTTCCTGGGTTCCAGAGGCACTAAAAACTCATTTTTCCCACCTCCAGCATTTCCTTTACATGTACAAAACTACGCGCCACACTTTTATATTCACTTGCACTAACCCACTTAACATCATGACTAGATTCGCTTATTAAGCTATGCGCTGTGACCGGCTGAGTCCTCAAAACACCTTAAACCACAACTTAGCAACTATGTAACATCTCAAACCTTATTTTTTTTGTTTGACTTGGGCATAGCCATGGACTAGATTCCAATGCTGCGCTCAGTTGTTGAATAAGTCACAAAGGCCAACTTTCACATCAAGAATGTTTCTAAACTACCACAGTTGGATTGACACACGGCATTAAAACCCAAAGCAAACCAACCCATTTGGGCTCAACAAAAGCTGGCTTTAAATAATGGGGCTTATTTTTAAGTAGACATCTAGACTGGAAAACTCCTTTTAGGTAAACTACCCTGGGTAAATAAATATATAGGATTATAGTCCTCTGCAAACAGTACAATTTTGCATGCTCAGTTAAGACACAATGCATATTTTGCCATGTAGCATTATTTAAGTTATTTTCCCAAAGCTTGCTCCTCCTTTTCCCCCCTCCCTTTCTTTTCCATTTTTCTTTTCCTTCCTTTCCTTTCCTTCCTTCCTTTTCTTTCCTTCCTTCCTTCCTTTCTTCCTTCCTTCCTTCCTTCCTTCCTTCCTTCCTTCCTTCCTTCCTTCCTTCCTTCCTTTCTTTCTTTCTCTTTCTTTTTCCTATGACCTCCTACAGTATCTGGCCATGGAAGATTGGGTGGTGGCTAAAAATAAAATCATTTCAAAGAAAAAAACAAGGTGAGGCCCTGATAAAAATCTTGTTCCCAAGATCTGACATCCACCCATTCTAGAGAGCCATTAACATCCTGGCTCCAGTGCCTGGGGGAAGAATCAAGTCTTCAGTCTTCTGAAGAAACCATAAAAGCAGTGCCACAAAAGATAGGGCATCCTTTCAAAAAAAAAATGCGACCCTTCCACACAGATTTAAGCTTAGCCCTTTCCTCCCCTCAGTGAGGCACTAGCCATTGTACCAGACTGAGTTCCATATGGAAGTCATCCTTTTAAAGGAAGAATATTGAATTTCATGTGAGCTACAGCTACTTCAGACCCTTTGATTTAGAACAGGGGTCTTCAAACGTGGCCCTTTTATGACTTGTGGACTTCAACTCCCAGAATTCCTCAGCCACAAACTTGGCCCTTTTATGACTTGTGGACTTCAACTCCCAGAATTCCTCAGCCACAAACTTGGCCCTTTTATGACTTGTGGACTTCAACTCCCAGAATTCCTCAGCCACAAACTTGGCCCTTTTATGACTTGTGGACTTCAACTCCCAGAATTCCTCAGCCAGCGTGCCTGGCTGAGAAATTCTGGGACTTGAAATCCACAAGTCATGCAAGGGCCAAGTTTGAAGACCCCTGATTTACAACGTTCTTCACCTCGGCTGCTAGCCACCAGAGAGCATAACTGTTGCCCTTTAGGAACTAAGGTTTAAAAACTAGAGAAAAAAAAAGGAAGTACCAGATAGATCAAACTACCAGAAAGCACCAAAATTGACTTTCCTTGCTAGAGTTATTCTATAGACCCGGTCAAGGAACAGGAATCACCCAATGCTTAGTCCAAAAGCTACCTAGAAAATTTCTGGCATGTTCTAGGAGGTCAGCAGGTCTATTTCACAGGCGTGAACTGGCCCCCACCGCACCCCACCCCCCCCCCAGCCAACAGCTTGCAAAACAGGCCATCTGCACCGTCTCTAAGATCAGCTTTAGGTTGTGTGCTGCACTTGGCATAGGTTCCTTCAAAGCAATTAAGCCATTTTCTGCTGCCAGTGCATCAGACTACAAGGTGAGCCAAAAGGTGGTTATTATCCAGGCAGGCCTTGGCAAATGCCCAGGATTACAGCAATATTATCTGTGAGCTCCAGAAAGCTCAGGACACTTGACAAAAAAAAAAAAAAAGCCAGGTAGTTTGGCAAGCGACCATAGTCCATCGGCGGCTTGGGTGGCAAACTGAAAGGATGCCAATATGATACCAGGCTCGGGGTGAAATCAGTGTGCAAACACGGTTTATGCATTTGCATCCTGACATCTGATGCAAGCGGGGTACGCAACTTGCAGTATTCTCACACAATGACGTGATTTGTGGCTTGTCTTTCCTTCATCCTTCCTGAAAGGCAGAAACCAAGAGTTTAAGGAAACCAATGACATCATTCTTCCAATTAATTTTATTCTTCCTTCATGCCACCCAGAGGCTAGAGGACAATACAAATGCCTCATTCATAAGAGAAAAAAAAAAGTGGAACAATGTTTTCCAATGGTGTCAACCGTTCAATAACCCATGATAGTGCAACAATATCTCTGCCATCATATAAACCAGGGGTGGAGAACCATGGCCCTTGTATGACTTGTGGACTTCAACTCCCAGAATTCCTGAGCCAGTTGAAGTCCGCAAATCATGAAGGCGCCATGCTTCCCCATCTCAGATATAAACTGATGACTTACTCAAACTAGCTAAGTCGTGAGCTCCAGATCTAAGCAGGTCTAGATGACGTGGTCATGAGTGAAGGATTTTGGGTACTGTAGTTCAGCAAGAGATGGAGTGGCTTGGAATGGGCTGGTCACGCACT